TATATATAACAGAATTCTGTGTAAATCAGTTTAGAAAATAAAACTGCATTTTCTAAACATATTATAGATATAAACTAATGTTTTAAAAGGTACATAATCTGGGCTGGGCATGGTGGCTCATGCCTGTAACTCTAGCACTTTGAGAGACCTAGACGGGAGAATAGCTTGAGGCTAGTAGTTCCAGACAAGCCTGAGCAACATATGGAGATCATGTGTACAAAAACTAAAAACAAACAAACAAAACAAATTAGCTGGGCATGATGGCTTAAGCTATTGAGGCAGGAGGATCACTTGAGCCCAGAAGTTTGAGGTTGTGGTGAGCTATGATGATGCCACTGCACTCTAGCCTGAGCGACAGAGTGTGAACTATCCTCCCATCCTGCCCCAAAAGGTACATAATCTAATATACGTAATTATTGTTCTATTGAGGTTTTCACCATCACCACCACAGTAATATGCCAAAATTTCTTCATCAAAATATCAGGTGACTCTACATTTCCAATATACAGATTTTCATTCTGCATATTATGTAAATACCATAAATCATGTGTTTTTTTTTTAAATGATAGAGATGGGGTCTCACTCTTGCTTGGGCTGGTCTTGAACTCCTGACCTTGAGCGATCCTCCCGCCTCGGCCTCCCAGAGTGCTAGGATTACAGGCATGAGCCACGTGCCCGGCCATAAATCATGTTTTTAAAAGAATATGTAAGAACATAGGGGAATGGCTATAAATACAGTTTTGCTTAAATATATACATAAAATAGAAAAAGTCTAAGGACTGACATCTGTATTATATAACCATTAAAAGTCATGTTTTAAAAAACTAATGTCATGAGAAAGTGGTCACAATTCAGTGATAAATGGATAAAAGCAAGAAATAAAAAATACATATAGCATGATCTCAATTTTGGTTTTTAATATAAACAGATGGCTTACTGAAGATTGTACATACACACACACACACACACACACACACACAAAATGACTAGAAGAAAACAGAATCACAATGTTCATAGTGCTTATTCTCTGACTTGTGAATGGCAATATTATGGAGATTTTTCTCTTTTTTTTGATACATTTTTCCAAGTTTTCTATAATAAACAAGTATCTGCATTATAAACAAAAAGAATATTCCCCCAAAAGAAATCTAATGTAATAAGATATTTGAACACATAGTATGTGGGGTGATGTAAATATTAACAGAAAAACACACTGTAAAGAAAAATTTTAAATAATACAAGTAAAAAAACATAAAATGCTACTTTTAAATAGCACAAAATTTCTAAGTATTGTATTTTTTTTTAAGACAGGTAACATTCTCAAATTTTCAATGAATAAATTCTAATCAAATCAACAAAATCTCAGTAATACTTTAATTTTACTCTCAGCTCACGGCAGTGTTGACACCTATGCAGCACTTTAATGAAGCAATAAAACCAAAATACAATGCTTAACTACTTGAGAGTTTAAACGCCCATCTCACATTGTGCCTCAACTACCCTATAAAAAAAAAAAACAGAAAAAACAGACCGAGACATGTCCCTTAGGAACAGGGCGGCTCGATGTGGCTCTAACCTGGTTCGACTGCATGCAGCTCTCCTCAGTTCTTGTATCAACTGACCAGTACATTCTGGTTCTTTACTGGCCGCCTGCAGCAAAGCTTTCCTAAATGTATGCCGGCATTTCTTTTGACGAGATTCTGCCCGCTCCAGGCGGCAGAGGTGCTTATATTTCTGCTGAAAGTAAGTGCAAAGTTGGGTCACCCTGGAGCTCCTACTCTCTGTATCATCGTCATCTGACCTGAAAAGTGCAGGGAGATAAGTAAAAAACTGATTACACATTAGGTTCGTTTTTGAGAGGGGAAAAGAGAATGAGGAAGGGTGATAGGAAGCACTGGTTTAAAACGTTTGTGGCATGTGAACACATACCCAACAAAATTAGAGTAAGAGAATGCCAATAGAGCTGAAAATAAATACAATATTTCAACAACAAGCAGGGCAGTAGAGACAATCCAGTACTTTAAGAAACTTAACCTTCTTAACATGTCATCATTAGACACTTAATGCACCAATGTCTTCTAAATTTTAAGTGACCAGAGATTCTTGGAGGAAAAAAAACATTTCTTTCATTTCTTTACCTTTGCTTACCTAAAAGTCTGAGCAAATGACATGGCAGTTGTGAGGAAATATGCAGCATAATTTCATAAAAGATAGGTCATACCAGAAATAGAGCAGTGAATTCTAACAGCAAATTATCTAAGAGCCGCCCTTTTAAACATTCTGGTTTTTAACTACCCTTTTCTTGCGAAGTACCTAAAGAATTTTGATTGTAGGGATCACGTTAATTCTACAGTTTTTTTCTTTTTAACTATGGAGGTATCCTAAATGGCTTTTAATAGACCAGGGATTACATATGGAGTTTTTTTTTGGTCATTGCTTATGTGATTGATTGGTGGTCCCTGCTGAAGTGCTCTGTGGAAAGGGCAAGTCTAGGCACAAGAAGAGCCTGCTGCGGCCAGTTAGCAATGTCTACCACTGGTGAGGTTACAGAGGCCATTTTTCTATGGAACAAATGTGATCTCACTTTTACTGTTAGGAATAATGCGCACTAGACTTGAAAACTGATCCGTGTTATTTTATCTTCTTTCTCTTCTATCATAAGTAAATACCGCACATGTGACACCACAGACTATATATTACCTTCCTAATCTTCTGTAAATCATGGCTTGGTTTCTCCTCTTAAGTGATATTATTACTCTTTCCTTCAGAATAGACTGTAACAAGCTACTCCATGAACTTTTGTTTAGTACCTCTCCAAAGAAACATATTCTCTTCAGTACAGTTTCCACTACAGACGTACAAATTGAAGGATCTTACCTCGATCTTTTCATTGACTCTACACTGAACATTTACTCTGTATCTACTACACTGAGCGCTACAGAAGAGAGACCAAAGCTTCAAGGAGTTTGCAAAGCAATTTAGACAGGATAAACATATCCCAAAAGTTAAACAATTCCAAAAAAGGATGGAATCAATAACAAAAATGGTGGGGCGGACAGACCAATGATTCAAATATCTGACTAGAAATCAGAAAAATCTAGGAGCGTTTTAAAATTTCAGATTCCTAGGACCTAGCCCCGTCTACTGAACTAGAATCTTCACTGGGTGGGGCCCAGGAATCTTTATTTTGAATTGTCCCCTTAACTCTCACAGCAGGTCTACACTTGGGAGTTCTAATGAAGCCAGTGAATGCTATAAATATCTTTAAAACTAGATAGTCATAAGTACCATAAGAGAAGTATGTACAAAGTGCCGTGGAGGGTCACTGGAAAGATTGCTAGACGAAAGAAAGGTTCTGCAGAGGAGATGACAACAGAATTGAGCCCTGAAGAATGGGTAGAATTTAAAGATGAGAAAAAAAGGGTACTCCACATGGATAAAACATATAAGCCAAGACACAGAGATAGGATAGTGAACAGCAAGAACAAAGTAGCTTGGTTTGGCTAAAGTATAAAGTATGTAGGAGCATGTGGAGTACACAGGTAAGGCAAACTTTCTCAACCTAAATGTCAGATCAAAGAGTTTAACCTTTATTCCACAGGCAGTGAAGAAGCTTTATAATTTTTTTTTTTTTTTTGAGACAGAGTCTCACTCTCTTGCCTAGGCTAGAGTGCTCTGGCGTCAGCCTAGCTCACAGCAACCTCAAACTCCTGGGCTCAAGCAATCCTCCTGCCTCAGCCTCCCGGGTAACTGGGACTACACGCACGCGCCACCGTATCCGGCTAATTTTTTCTATTTTTAGTTGTTTGGCTAATTTCTTTCTATTTTTAGTAGAGACGGGGTCTCACTCTTGCTCAGGCTGGTCTCGAACTCCTGAGCTCAAGCAATCCTCCCACCTCGGCCTCCCAGACTGCTAGGATTACAGGCATGAGCCACCACGCTCAGCCAAGCTTTATAATTTTTAAGAAAATGGATAACATTAATAGAGGTGTGCATGACAATGATTATACTGTCAGCAGATATAGAATAAATAAAGGAAGAGACAGAAAAGAACAGTTATAAAATTATCATAAAACTCCAAGTAAGAAATAGGAAGGACCCACACTAAGGTGGAAGTAGCAGGAACGGAGAATGTGAGGCGCAATCTGCAATGTATAAAAGACAAACTTTGTCAACCGGGCAAGGAAGGTGGAAGGGACAATAATCATCACCCAGCAGTTTCCATCAGTGAAGACCAGGGAAGAACAGGAGTACGTACCACTTACAAAACAAGGAATAGGAATAAGAGCAGTTTTGGGACAAAAAATAAATTCCATTTCAGACAAAATGAATCTAGATGAGATATCAGGGGGAGCTGCACAAAACTCTGTGGAAATGAAAAACTGGAGCACACTTAGGGAAGAGTGATTTCAGAGTCAACAACTGACAGTGAAGGACATGGGAGTGACTAAAAGTAAAAAGCCACAGAGATAATGGAAGGAACAAGACACGTAAGGGCCATGATCATAAAAGAAGTAACTTGGTTTGGTGACTGGCTGTGAAGGGTAAGAAAGTCAATAATGACTCAATGGCTTTGAAGCTGCATAACTAAGAAAATGGAAGTGCCATTAATGGAAAAGGAAAGGGAGGGGAAAGGCAAGTCTTACAGAGAAGTGCCTGTAATCCTAGCACTCTGGGAGGCTGAGGCAGGAGGATTGTTTGAGGTCAGGAGTTCAAAACCAGCCTGAGCAAGAGCAAGATCCTGTCTCTATAAAAATTAGAAAAATTAGCGGGGTGTGGTGTCGTGCACCTGTAGTCCCAGCTACTTCAGAGGCTGAGGCAGGAGGATCGCTTGAGCCCAGGAGCTTGAGATTTCAGTGAGCTATGATGCTATGATGCCACTGTACTCTAGTCCAGGCAACAGAGTAAGACGCTGTCTCCAAAAAAAAATAAAACCTAAAAAACAAAAACAGCAACTAGAAAAGAGCTGCAGTAGCTATACTAACATCAGACAAAATAGATTTCAAAACAAAAAGTGTCACTAGAGATAAACAAGGGTATTTTATAAAGCTAAAAGTATCAATACATAAGGAAAACATAATAATTATAAATATATATGTACCTAACAACAGAGTCACAAAATACATGAAGCAAAAACTGACAGAATTGAAGAGGGAAATAGTTGGAGACTTCAAATATCCACTCGCAATAATGAATAGAACAAAATAGAAGACCAGCACGGAAACAGAAGAATTGAACACCACAAACCAACTAGATCTAATAGACATCTTAAAGCACTCCACCCAACACCCAATCCAGAATATGCATTCTTCTCAAGTGCAACATGAAACATTTGCTACAACAGACCTTAAAACAAGTCATAAAAAGTGCCAATAAATTTGAAAGTATTGAAATTATACAAAGTATGCTCTCCAACAACAAAAGGCCACATATATTGTATGATTATATTTATGTGAAATATGAATGATCAATAATATTTGACAACCCTTGAAACTAGACTAACCCAGAAAAAGTCGTAAATTACCAAAATTATAAATTAAAGAGTGGACATTATCTATCTAAGGGGGACATTTCCCCATTATCTTACAGGGGAAAAAAAAGATTCTAAGAGAACATTATAAAAAAACTATATACTAATAAATTAGATAATAAAAATGAAATAGACAAGTTGCTAGAGAGAGACAATCTTCTGAATCTGACTCAAGAAGAAATTAAAAATCTGAATAAACCTATAACAAGAGATTGAATTAGTAATCAAAAAACTTCCCACAAAGAAAAGCCCAGGACCAGATGACTTCACTGGTTAAATTATACCAAACATTTCAAGAAAACTTAACATGTTAGATTGAAATGCAATAATATCAACAATCACATTACATTCAAATAGTCTAAGCACTCTAAATAAAAAGCAGAGATTGTCAGAGTAGATAAATGAAATGAAATTAGTAGAAATGAAAGTATACTGATGAAAGGTTCACATACATGAAGTAGTATAACACATGAAGGTGGACAGCAGTAATTAAAGATGTATAATATAAACCCTAAAATCACTATAAAAACAAAGCAAAGAAGTACAGCTAAGAAGTCAAAAAAGGAGATAAAATGGAATCATGAAAATGATCAAAAAAAGAAAAACAGGAAGAAAAGAACAAATAGATGTGACAAATAGAGAATAAAAGGTGTTAGATTTAAACCCAATAATATCAATGATCGTATTAAAGTTGTCTAAACACTCGAAATAGAAAGTAGAGATTGTCAGAGTAGATAAAAAAAGCAAGAACCAGATCTAATGATATGCTGCCAACAAGAAACCCACTTCAAATATGCAAATATGTTAAAAATAAGAGAATTGAAAAAGATATCAAGTTAACACTAACCAAAAGAAAGCTGTAGTGTCTATATTAATGCCACATAAGGTACGGTCTCAGAGCAAATACTATCACTGGGATATAGAGGGTCATTGTACAATAATAAAGGGGCGCTTCATCAAGAGGGCAGAACAATCCTAAATGATCACGCATCTAATAACAGAACTATAAAACGTGGAAAGTAAACAGTGAGACAACCAAAAGGAGAAATAAATAAATCCACAAACAGACATTTTAACACCCTTTTCTTAGTAATCGATAGAACAAGTTCACAGAAAATCACCAAAATACGGAAGACATGAACAACACTACTAACTTACTTGACCTAATTGACGTTTATAGAACACTATATTCAAGTGCAGTTTCTAATCACAGTAAAATTAAATTAGAAATCAATATCTGGCTGGGCACAATGGCACATGTCTATAGTGCCAGCTATTTGGGAGGCTGAGGCAGGAAGATCACTTGAGCCCAGGAGTTAAGACCAGCCTGGGTAACAGCAAGACCCCATTTCCAAAAAAAAAAAAAAGAAAAGAAAAGAAATCAATCTATCAATATCTGGGAAATCCCAAAATACTTAAAAGCTAACTATCCCTTCTGAATAACCCATAGATCAAACAAGAAATCAAAGAGATATTAGAAAGTACAGTGAGCTAAATAAAAATGAAAATATATCTTATCAAAATTTCTGGAATGCAGCTAAAACCAGTGCTTAGAAGGAAATGTATAACACCAAAAGTCTATATTAGAAAACAAGAAATTCCATCCCAAAATACTTGGCATAAAAAAAAAAAAAAGAAAAGAAAGATCTCAGATAAAACCAATTTAAGCTTAAAAACTACAAAAAGGCTGGGCGCGGTGGCTCACGCCTGTAATCCTAGCTCTCTGGGAGGCCGAGGTCAGCGGATTGTTTGAGCTCAGGAGTTCGAGACCAGCCTGAGCAAGAGCGAGACCCCGCCTCTACTAAAATTAGAAAGAAATTAATTGGCCAACTAAAAATATATAGAAAAAATTAGCCGGGCATGGTGGCTCATGCCTGTAGTCCCAGTTACTTGGGAGGGTGAGGCAGTAGGATTTCTTGAGCCCAGGAGTTTGAGGTTGCTGTGAGCTAGGCTGACGCCACAGCACTCACTCTAGCCCGGGCAAAAAGAGTGAGACTCTGTCTCAAAAAAAAAACTACAAAAAGATGAGAAAATTAAACCCCAAACAAGCAGAAGGAAATCATAAGGATTAGAACACAAAGCAATGAAATAAAAACCAGAATAATAGAGTCAAAGAAACCAAAAGCAAGATTAAAACCTTATTTGAAGCTATATTAATTAAACCCATGTAGTAATAGCATGAGGACAAATAGGCCAATGGAACAGAAGAGAGGGTGCACAAATAGACAAACACATGTATGTCATAAACCTAATTTATGTCAAGGGTTCCAATGCAATGGAAAACAACAGCATTGTTTTCAATAAATGACACTGATTAAATAGAAAATCCATATTTAGCTTTTAAGCATTTGGGAAATCCATATGGAAAAAATGATCCTTAACTGTATCTCACACCATATACAAAATTAAATCCCAGAAAGACTGTCAGTAAAATAAAGCTTCTAGTTGATGATATGGGAGAATAGCTTCATGACCCTGTAGTAAGCAATGATTTCATAAATAGGTCAAAGTACACTAAACAGAAAGAAACAAATTATACTTTATTAAAATTAACAACTTCTTCCTTTCAAAAAACACAATTAGGAATTGAAAAGGTAAGTAGTTACTAGCAGTAATTACTGTTCCTTAATAATATATTGAGGATAACTTATTTCTGATATGGAAAGACAAAAGTAAAAGCCTGAGAGAGCTACTTTGACATATGCATCTACAGCTAAACTAAGCAACCAAGAAATATTTGCCACAACAAAGCCAAACCTCCTTCCAAAAATTTCTTTAAGTACAATTCTGAATTAGCAAGAAAACTTTGTAAAGGTTCTTTAGGCAGGAACATGGTGATCAGATCACTGTCAGTTTTTCTTCCCAAACTCAATGAACTCACTGAAGAATCTGAAATGGCAAAATCTTCTTGAAGACATAATGGACAGGCTAGGTAAGGCAATTTTCTAAAGCTCTCCATCTTCTATTACACTTAAACACAGCAAGATATAATAAATGACAGGTAGCTGGAAAAAGAAATTGGAATAAAGATGTTCTGGCCAGGCACAGTGACTCACGTCTGCAATCCCAGCACTTCGGGAGGCCGAGGCAGGAGGATCGCTTGAGCCCAGGAATTTGAGGTTACAGTGAGCTATGATCACATCACTGTACTCCAGCCTGGGTGACAGAGTGAGACCTTGTCTCTCTTAAAAAAAAAAAAAAAAAAAGATGTTCCATAGATAGTTTAAAATACAAGACAGAGGTTCCTTCTAGAGGGCAGAGTGACAGATACAGATACCAAGTTGTTAAGCATAAAGGGGTCGGTAAACCAATTCAATCTCAGTTTCACCCAATGGAAAAAATATATAATACGGTATGTCTGTAGTATAATAGGAGCCCAACAAGAACATACTGAATGAATGAATGAGTGAATAAATGAATGAAAATGAATGAATGAATAAAAAGAATAAAGGGGAAAAGATTAAAACAATAGCTGGGAAAGAAGTAAAGATAATAACTTGTAAAAAAGGAGAAAAGTAGACTGAAGGAAAGAACCAGGAAAGCAGAGTCTCATGGTAGTCAAAGAGGAAGCAAGCTGGCAAAAGTGATCAAGGAAGTAAAATGCTACAGAGATGAAGAAAAATGAGGATGGTCATAAGTCTAAAACAACAAAAGAAGTATTTTAATAACTCTGAAAAATTGGAAGGTAGAGACAGAATATAGATTGCTCCCAATCAATAGCAAATAGTCCCAATACTGATGTTCAGGTTACCTTTAGAATTAAATTAGGAATCATAACTACCATTTATTAATCATTTTCCATATAGCAGGTATTTTGCTGAGCATTTATCTATGGTAACTCATTAAAAGCAATTTGTAAAATTAACCCAAAATATCCCATGTTAAGCTGAAATGAATCATCCTTAGGAAGCATGATTGATAGTATCTGTAACTAAAAAGCTTAAGCTTGCTGAGCATGGTGGCTCACGCCTGTAATCCCAGCTACTCAGGAGTACCAGGCAGGAGGATCACTGGAAGCCAGGAGTTGGAGACCATCCTGGGCAACATAGTGAGACCCCATCTCTTAATAAATAAATAAATAATAAAAAGTTTAAGCTCAGTTAACTCTATTGTACTCTATCTGGAAAAAAAATGCTAATAGTAAGAAAAAAGTCTTGAATGATACATAAAATGGACCCTCAGAGTAATGGGAAAAAAGTGTAACATTCTTCAATATTATCCGGATGATAAGTGAGGCAAAGACAACTAGGTGGGAGATAAATCCCAAGAGTAGAAATAGATGCATCGTGCTATTATAATTTAATGACACCGCCATTAATAAAATCCAACTAATTCTCCTTCCTTGAATTCCATGCCCAAATAAGCTTCTGATGATAATTTGCTTCCTGTGTAGTTTTATTCAGTAACCATTTATACTATTTGATGATTATATTTCTCACAATAAACTAGCATTTTGGTTTATAGATTAGTCTCTAGTCAATCAGTTCTCTAAGCCTAATCATCTCTGGATGTACTAACAAATCATATTTTTAATTCTATAAATTCAAACACCATGTCCTAGATTTTATGTCCAAACGATGACAGTGTAAACTTCTAGGAGTCAGCCTAGGGAGGGTAGCCAGTCTCCCCTCTATCTTGCTGAACATCTATTCAAACCTCTATCTATCTATCTATCTATTTAGAGACAGGGTCTTGGCTCTGTGGCCCAGGCTTGAGTGTAGTGGCATCATCATAGCTCACTGCAGCCTCAAACTCCTGGGCTCAAGTGATCCTCCTGCCTTGGTCTCCAAAAGTGCTAGGATTACAGGCATGACCCACCACAAGTGGGACAAATGACAATATTTTAAATAAATATTTAGCTGAGTCTGTAAGTCATCTTCTGGCCCCATAGACAAGGATCTAGCTTAGTATTGTCAAACGGCACTAAGTGAATCCCTACAATGCTAACGTAGTCTCCTGAAAGAAACATTTTAGCACAGTAGAAATATTAAAGACAGATCCATCTTGCAAAAAGTTAGAGGTGAAGTTAAAAACACTATTTCTAGCTACTGTTGGGTAGGGCCAAAGAAGCTATGGAAAAGCAAGACAGTGGGACTCCAAGTGACCACGGGCAAGTTCCTCGACCTATTTGGGCCTTGCTATCCTCTTCTGTGAAAAGAGGAAATTGGATCACATAATCTCTAAGGTCCTTTTCAATTCTAAATTCTATTAGAATTGGTTCCTTCAGTGATGAATGGGAAAGGTACAGAAACAAATTTACCAAGAAAACTTAAGAGTAGCTTTGCTCAAATAACAATGTATTATACATTTCTTCCCAAGTGGAATCTACTTAACCTCCACATTTTTGAAGTGTTGTCTATTTTACCTCCATTTTGTTTTATTTTGTTTTTTTGTAGAGATGGGGTCTTGCTATGTTGCCCAGGTTGGTCTCAAACTCCTGGCCTCAAGTGATCCTCCTGCCTTGGCCTCCCACAGTGCTGGGATTACCGGAGTGAGCCATGGCACCTGGTCAAACCTCTAATTTGTTTTAACCTCTATTTTACAATGAAACTAGATCCAATAAAATAAAAACATTCACATATATGAGGGGAAAAATCAATCTGCTACAGTGGTAATTCAAAAATAAAAACAGACAGAAAGACTTACGTGTGTCTTTCATATCTGAGGGTTTCTCGGATGGACCATGCAACCTGGTATGGTGAGGCCTGCTCTGAATCCTCCAGTTCCTCTCCACTCTCTTCAGACCAGTCCAACCCTGGGACAGACATGGGATATTATGAGTTAGAAAAAAATTTACTTTCATTCAAAATTTAGATTAAAAAGCTATCCAAAATATATCACCCAACACCTATATCAAGTACTACCACAGTGTGAATAAATGCCTCCTGATGAACGTCATTTCTATTCTTATAAAGATTAATAATGAATGTATGATATACACTCAGGTTTTCAAAAATGACATTTTAACAAAAAGGCTAAGCTATATTCCAAGGATGAACTTCTTTTGTCAGACACTTATGGGGCAGAAACAATGCAAGCAAAGGAGAGAGTTCGGGTCACAAAAAAGGGTAGAATTTCTTAAGTACCAAAATTTCATACACAAAAATGATGTCAGAAAAGCATAAAACATATTCAAAAGGATGCGAAAAGCAGCCGAACATGTTCACGCAAGAAAAAGGTCAAAACGTGCCGATGAAGTCACTCTATACTTCAACAAAGGAGGGCCCTAGAATAAATTGTCAAAGGCAGACATGCTCAATCCCTCTCTCCCAACATCTCTGGAGGAAAGGGCTCCATCGATTAGGGAGTGCATTCCCTGGCTCTTGCCCTCTATGGGAAGCTGGGAGGGCTGGATGGCAGTGTTCTATTACTAATGAGATTTGAGACTTCTTTCAATTCTTTTAAACAAAAGCTGCCACATTTTGTGCTCCATTTTGTAAAACAAGTTTAGAGGGAAAGGGGGAGAAACACAGTATGAATAATGCTTATTTTGTTAAATGCTATAATTTTTTTCATTAATTATTTATTTGTTATTTTGGAAATGGGATCTCACTATTTTGCCCAGGCTGGGCCAAACTCATGATCCTCCCACCTCAGTCTCCCATGTAGCTGGGACCCCTGTGCCTGGCAAATGCTATAATTTTTAAGTGATTGGATAATTTTTAGCTCCCAACATAAAAGGCTTTTTACCCTTTTAAAAGCTTTATATCTTGAAAAGGTCTTGATAAACACTTAAGTCGCACAGCCTAAACTATAACAATATGTAAGAGTATATAACTTTAATATATTCATACCACTATGAAACTTATTAGACATCTTGATAACCAGTATTTTATTTATGTCTTCTTTCTTGAGAACCTCGAAAATTAAGACTATCCTCATTAGACAGACTTATAATAAAAATGACCTCACAGATTGCTCCCATAGCTTAAACGAGTTTACATGTGCCAAATAGGGAAATTAAGAAAAGGTTAATTGAAATGCAAATTATAAATGCTTAAAATTAAATAACACATTGCCACTGGCATAAAGAAAATTCAAATCTAGTTCCAAGATGACTGTCTAAAATGGCAGGTCACCTTAAAAAAAGTGAGTTACTTTCTCTTGACTAAAATAACTAATAATTTGTAGGGGGGAAAAAGGTAAAAAACAATTAAGTGATCCCAACAGCATCAACTTCAGTGTGTTGACAGGTGAGGTCTGTCAAAGTGATATTTAATGCACATTTTAAAAAAAAGAACATGAGTTATCTTTTAATTGTTTCAGAAGTAATAATTTCTACTAAGACATCTACCCTTTCTCGAAGAAGTCAAGATGTAAGTCTTAGGAACTAAGATGAAATGTTTCTTCTGCTGTGAAATTTACTGTCCAATAAAGCAAACCTTTGATCGTGGCTTCATTATCACTAGTTTTAGTGTAACTAACTGATATAACGAGCCCAGACAGAGCTGTAAAAGCTAATTACAAGACTGAATTTTCTTTAAGTACTCTTTGCTGACATGGAAACAGACTATGATTGGTCATAAGAATACATTACAATTTCTAGTTTCTCCAAAATAATCTTTGTTTTGAAATCTTACATCTCTAAGATGTTTGAATTTTACAAAATTAAAAGGCTGAATACTTTCTCTGCAAGTTTTTGTCCTGTTCAAAAATCAGCCCCTGGCCGGGCGCAGTGGCTCACGCCTGTAATCCTAGCACTCTGGGAGGCCAAGGCGGGCGGATCGTTTGAGCTCAGGAGTTTGAAACCAGCCTGAGCAAGAGCGAGACCCCGTCTCTACTAAAAAATAGAAAGAAATTAATCGGACAACTAAAAATATCTAGAAAAAATTAGCCGGGCATGGTGGCGCATGCCTGTAGTCCCAGCTACTCGGGAGGCTGAGGCAGAAGGATCGCTTGAGCCCAGGAGTTTGAGGTTGCTGTGAGCTAGGCTGACGCCACGGCACTCTAGTTCGGGCAACAAAAGTGAGACTCTGTCTCAAAAAAAAAAAAATCAGTCCCCAACACAACACAAAATTTCATTGTTTTAAAAGATAAAAAATTATCAGCATCCAGAAATAAATAAAATTATAAATAAAAATTTAGTAGATGATACAGATAAGTGTTGGAATATTTGGAAAAAAATTGTTAGATTTCTGCCTCAAAACTAATACCTAAATGAGTTACAGACAGATAACTGAAATGTAAATAATGAGATAATTAAAAAAACTAAAAGAAAACATAGATGAATATATTTATATACTCTTGCAATGAAGAGAGCCCAAACAAGGAAACAAACAAAAAGCCATGACTCAAAGAAAAACTCCTAAAGAAAGAAAATACATAAAAATTTTTAACTTCTAAATTCCAAAATCATTATAATAGATATTTGAAAGCAAATAATATAAAGGAGAAGGGGAAAAGGCTTTGCAACCAATATTAAACATGTATTACTGATCTTATCCATCAATAAAAAAGAAAAATGCTTCAACAAAAATGGACAAAAGAAGTAAAAAGGCCAAATAATATCAGTGTTCAAAAAGCACATGAACAAATACTCAACTACATTATTAATCCAAAATAGCAGTTCTCAGAGTATGGACCACAGATCCCTGGGGGTCCCTGAAGTCCTCTCAGGGGGATTCCTTAGAGCAACACTATTTACAGAATAATAATAAGGCATCATTTGCCTTTTTCACTGTGTTAGCACTCACACCAAGGGTGTAAAAGCAAGGGTGGATAAAACTCTGCCTCCTTAGTACAAATCAAGGCAACAGCAACCAAACTATTCTATTAGTGGTCATGGTATTCTTCACACCGTGCCTCACAACTTAAAAAAAAAAAGTTTTAAGAATGTTCTTGTTTATTAAAAATTGTTTATTTTATTAAATCTCAACCCTTGAGTGTACTTTACAATTATTTTATGTGACTAAATGTGAAGTATACAGAAAGCACCTCTGCTGTATATGAAGAAAGTATTACTAGATGATTGTCTCAAGGAAAAGCATTTGCACAGTTGTTCAGCTGCAACCTGAATAAGCTTTTTTTTTTTCATTTGACATCATTTCTATTTGAAAGAATATCTGGCGAACTATGGTTTTTAAGACTTGGATATTTGGCAGTCATTTTCCCAAAAATGAATACCATGAGACTGTCACTTCAAGGAGAACAACTGACAGTATTTATTGTTGTCAATGATAAAATTTGAGTTTTCGCTTAAAAGCTCAATTTTTGGAAAACTTTAATTCATGACTGAGAGCTTGACAACTTCCCAATAGTTAGGCTTTTCTGATGAGATTGATGGTAATATTAACAAATGTGATTTTTAAATTTCATACCATAATGAAATGTATCGACATTTGGAATATCTGTATAACTAAGTAAACCAGGGTTTTCCAAATGACCAACAGATGATGTTACAAAATCATACATGGATAAGAGATCCATTCAAAGAACAAAAGACCCAATGGGTTTTAATACGACAGTATGAAAAGTTCCTTGATATGGTTTCAGATTCCACACTGCAACTAATCTTTAACTGGTCCAGTTTCAGTGTAGAATCAAGAAAGAATATCCATAATCATTTGAAAAAGGAGATTAAAATACTCCCTTTTTCAACTACCTTATGTGCGAGGCTGTTACTTTCATCTCCTAGCCAAAAACCACATATCAAAACAGACTGCGAAGCAGATATGAGAATCCAGCTATCTTCTAGTAAACCAGACATTAAGACTCACAAAACAATGCTATTCTTCTCATTATATTCATTTTGGAAAATGTAACTATTTTTCAAAAAAGGAACGTGTTGACATGCAGTGAGTTTGTTATTATTTTTGAAAGAATCAATGTTTAATATTGGCAAGCCACAGTGGCTCACGCCTGTGATCTTAGCACTCTGGGAGGCCGAGGAGAGAGGACTGCTTGAGCTCAGGAGTTCAAGACGACCCTGAGCAAGAGCGAGACTGGGTCTCTACTTAAAAAAAAAAAAAAAGGGAAAAATTAGCCAGGCACAGTGGTGCACACCTGTAGTCCCAGCTACCAGGAGGCTGAGGCAAGAGGTTTGTTTGAGCCCAGGAGTTTGAGGTTGAAGTGAGTTATGATGATGCCACTGCACTCCAGCCAGGGCCACAGAGCAAGACTCTGTCTCAAAATAAATAAATAAAGTCTTTAAAAAATTTATTAAAAAAAAATTAATAGTTAAATATCTCAGTGTTTTTATGAGCCCATGCTGCAGAAAACATCTCAGTTTTAACTTCAAATACAGTAAATATCAATAGATATAACTCATACACAAAAACTCTATCACGGTTGGTCCGAGTGCAGTGGTGTTTACAATTAATTGGTCACAACAAGTTACAGATTCCTTTGTTCGTTCTCCACTCCCACTTCTCCACTTGACCAGCCTTTAAAAAACAAAAAAATTTAAAAAAAAACGAAAACAAAAAAAAAAACTCTATCACCATAGAGCTCAATAATATTTAAGTATAAAGGATCCTACAACCAAAAAATTGAGAACCACTGATCTAAGATATGCAAATTAAAGCAAATTTTCTATACAATTTGCAAAGGCAAAAATAATAATAATAATACCCAGGGCTGACAAGGATTTAGAGAAACCATCATTCTCACACATTGTGGAAAGAAGGTAAGCCAACAAAATAATTCTGAAGAAAAATTTGGCAACATATATCAAAAACTTTTCTAAAAAAATGCAAAAGCTTAGAATCAGCAATTCTACTTCTAGCAATCTTTTAATATTTGAAGGAAAAATTAAAGATGTGGCAGTAATTCTTTTGCTGCAAAGCTATACATCTCCAACAGTTTATAACGATATTGACTGAAACAGCTTAAAGTGGAAATAGATTTCAGCCATGACAAATTATGTTGTATATGAAAAATTAATAACTTGGAAATACATTATTATGAAAAATTTTAAAATAGGTTACAAAACACTATGTATAGTAAGCAGCCAATTTTATATATCTGAAAGGATATACCATGATATTAACAAATGAGTATTAATAGGGTTTGGAGTGTTTTATTATTTTTGCTTACCTATATTTTTTATGTTTTATTAATTTTTTTAATTACCAAAAGTCATACATGGCTTAAAAACAGGTGAAACAATAAAATACTATGTAAGAAAAGCTACTACTCTCATCTCCCAAAAAACAATTCCTGTCGAATTCCATTCTCCCTATAGTAGCCAGTGTTAACAGCCTGGTAGTGTACATACTTTTACCTACATTCACAACAAATAGGCACACATCTATTCATATACTTAATCAATAGATACACCGATGTCCATTGTTTATTTACTTTGTTCATTTGTTTATTTTTACAAAAATCGGATGATACAAACACCTCTTCATTTTTTTCTACTTCTTAACATACAATGGGCACAGTCTCAGACAAAAGATACAGATTTCACTCACTCTTTTTAATAGCTGGATAATATTTCATAAAACATAGATGAACCATAATTAATTCACGTTTTCCTAGCACTTGCTTAGGTTACTTGATTTTTAAAGCTGTAATCAATGCTATAATGAACATCCTTGCACACATATGCTTAAATTTTGACATTTTTTTTATCCATAGGATAGTCCCACAAATAAGCTTTAGTAGTAGATAGTGCTAAATTACTCACCAGCGGCGTCTGAGATACCATATCTTCACCAATACTGGATATAAATTTTGCCAGTCTGGTAATTCATTGTTGTTTTAATTTGTATTTCCTGCCTGCTATAGGGATTGAAGTTTTCACCTGTTTATTGACCATTCATATCTCTTTGTTTTCTGTTCATATCTTTGCTCATATTTCTATTGCTGTCATGTCATGCAAATAATTTTTCCTGAAGTAAGAATTATAGCTCACACCACATTCAAGAATGAATTCCAACTGAATTCAAGGTTTAAATGATCAAAAACAAAACAAAACAAACTATTAATAGGAAATATAGAATATCTGCATAAACTTGGGAAGATTTCTTCAAGCAAAACAGAAAACTCAGAAGCAACAAGGGAAAAATAGGTATTTAACTACACTAAATTAGAAGTTTTGTTTGCATTTTCTCACTTTTTAATCATGAACAGGAATACCTTGGGAACTTTTAAACAGTGAAATTTTTTATAGTCAGCAGATATTAAGAATGCTGTGATTATTTCTACAATATAATGTGTCAAGAACTTCATTAGATACACAGGTACTAAGTTCATAAAGGCATACAACCAAACACAATTGCCTTTTAATATTGCTATTACTACAATAAAAGCTACGAGTGGAATTCTAAATTCCCAACTCCCATTTCTGTATTCTATTCTGCAAGTATTATAATCTCCAGTAGCATATAGTTGGCCCTCTGTATCCATGGATTCTGCATCCATGGATTCAACCAACCGAAGATCAAAATATTCAAGGAAAAAAAAATTGCATCTGTACTAAACATGTACAGGCTTCTTCTCATCGTTATTCCTTAAACAATACAGTATTACAATTATTTACACAGTATTTACACTATATTAAGCATTATAAGTAATCTAGAGATGCTTAAAAACAGCAGTCCCCAAACCCCCAGCCATGGACCAGTACTGGTCTGTGGCCTGTTGGGAACCAGGCCGTGCATCACCACCTGTGCTCCCCCTCCCCTATTCCTCACTCCCCCTACCTCCCCTAAACCCCATCCATGGAAAAACTGCATTCCATGAAACCGGTCCCTGGTGCCAAAAAGGTTGGGGACTATTGCTTTAAAGTATATGGGAGGATATATATATATATAGGTTATATGTAATTACCGCACCATTTTATATCAGGGGCTTGAACATCTTCCAATTTTGGTATCTGCGGAAAATCCTGGAGCCAGTCACCACAGATACCAAAGGACGACTGTACTTATTTTAAGGCAGTCTACCTAAATACAGAATCTTCCATTGTACCCTTCTGCCCTACATGATGGTTGTTAGGAAAGTGAAGCCCCACACAACAGAACACATTTTACTTATTATACATGTATGATATGATAAAATAGATAACTCACCTAAATGGGGAAACAGATCGGTGTCCAGCTGATGTTTTTGGGTGCACAGTTTCACCAGTCTCTGCAGTCGACTTATACAAGAGAAGTGTGGAGAGAAGGCTGTGGCTTTCATGAGGACCCGGTCAGTCCTGGGTGGGTCCGCGACAGGAGCCCTACTGGATGGCAGGAGGGGCAGAGGCCTCTTGTGAGACAACTGCCTTGCTTGTGCTATAGTGTGTGTGGTGGGGGCCACTCCCTGCATTGGTAGGCTGGTGTTCTGAGGTTGAGGTGACTTGCAGACTGAACCCTGCGGTGGCGCTGGAGGTTTTAAAGAAGTGGATAAAGGTGACAGGTGGGAGTGCTGCTGCGGAGGCTGCGGCTGTGAAGGTGCAGGAGGGGGACTAAAGTGCTCTTGTCGAACTTTTAAAATCTCTGTCTCTCTCTGGCGCTGCCGATTCTGGGCCAATTTGCTCTGCAACTTCTTTCTCACGGTTGCCCCTTTCTTTAGGTCATCGTCTTCCTCGTTGAAAGCAAACGGGTCTTCCAATTCAGTTTCCAGGTAGTGGAGAGGGACCCTTGCCCCAGGTGGAGAGAGGGACATTCCATCCAGTCCGTTGGGCATCTTCAAGGCCACCGTGGGCACTGCCAGGCTAAAGGCCATGGTATCCATCTGGTGCCTGACCTTCACCTCATCTATAGGATCATTCTTTTTCTTCCTCTCTTTTTTCGGGATAAAGCCAAGTACCTGCAAGTGGCTGTTGCAGTACCTTTAAAAATACACACACGGGAAGATATTTACGATACATATTAAGAAAAGTAGACTATAGAACTATTATAAAATGTGAATCCTGATATATTAAAAATTGCATGACTATAGTAACTCTTGGCATTCATCAATTTAATATGCAACTTCCACTACTTTCACGCAATCCTCAAAGTCTGTGCAATTATGCTGAGACAGATATGTGAACTGTACACGCGCAAAGGTGGCCAGACAGAAGCAAGTCACCTGGCTAGTGAGTGGCCCTGGATAACCAATCAACTCTTGCTCCTCACATGGCTTTGTTATTCTCTATTCATAGCATACAAAGTAGTTCATCAAGAGTCTAAAGGATCACTTAAAATTCTCTTACGGAGGAAAAAAACATATGTTCCAATGCCATTCAAGTATTTGGAGATTCACAAAGATCTTACGACATAAGCCTCAAGGATGTCAAGTGTCTACTGTATGCTTCACACACATACATACACACATGGGGCTGGGAGGAGAGAGAGAATATAGCATGGAAGGAGAAAGTAAAAGAATAAGCTGTTTAGTGGGATTATAGGTGAAACGAGTTTCTCAATAGCCAGATATAAGAAAGTGAATTATCTCCTCTAGTACCTATCTGCCATAGGTACTAAAATAATGCCCTTTATACATATGAGGAAATTAAGCTTTACAGAAATTAATTAACTTGCCCAAACCACTTTCCATATGGAAAGTGACAGAGCTAAGACTTGAACTAAAATCAAAGCTCATGAACACTCTCATCAATCTTCAATAACAAGCAGGTAACTTTTGTAATGTAAAAGCTATTTTTAAAAAGCTACAAAAGGAGGCCGGGCGCAGTGGCTCACGCCTGTAATCCTAGCTCTCTGGGAGGCTGAGGCGGGTGGATTGTTTGAGCTCAGGAGTTCGAAACTAGCCTGAGCAAGAGCGAGACCCTGTCTCTACTAAAAAAAAAAAATAGAAATTAGCTGGACGACTAAAAATATACAGAAAAAAATATTGGCCAGGCATGGTGGCACATGCCTGTAGTCCCAGCTACTCAGGAGGCTGAGGCAGTAGGATTGCTTGAGCCCAGGAGTCTGAGGTTACTGTGAGCTAGGCTGACGCCACGGCACTCTAGCCCGGGCAAGAGAGTGAGACTGTCTCAAAAAAATAAATAAATAAAAATAAGGTGATACTTGCTTCAGCTCAACTGAAAAACAACTACAAGGTTGCCAACTGCAACTGTGATAAGCTGTATTTAAGATAAAATTATAGAGATATGTTTGCAAAGGTGCTTCAAGTAAAAAAAAAAAAAGAATCCAACCTCATCAATCTTCAGGTTAAAAAAGGGCAGGGATAAGAAATTATCATTTTCAGTCTACTAACATCAACTAGACCATAGATCCCTTTCTTACCTGAGATTAAAATTTTATTCCTTGTCTCATTAAACAGCTGTTTCTAACTTTCAGGTATTGTAATTTGAAGCCTTCAGTGCTCATTAGAAATTCTAAGAGTGTGTTCCCAAATCACATTATACTATTCATACTCATTTTGTTGGGATCTCTACTAACACAAATTATTTATTTCATATTAAAAGTGTAAAAAGTGGCCAGCCGCAGTGACTCACACCTGTAATTCTAGCACTCTGAGAGGCCGAGGTGGGAGGATTGCTTGAGCTCAGGAGTTTGGGACCAGCCTGAGCAAGAGTGAGACCCTGTCTCTACTAAAAATAGAAAAATTAGCTGGGCATCATGCCATGAGCCTGTAGTTCCAGCTACTCAGGAGGCTGAGGCAGGAGGATCACTTGAGCTCAGGAGTTTGAGGTTGCAGTGAGCTATGATGACAGCACTACAGTCTCCCAGGGGCAACAGAGCAAGACTCTGTCTCAAAAAAAAAAAAAAGTGTAAAGTGTTCAACATGGCATAAAATACATGATTCCTTTTCAACCAATTTACGCAGGTGACATTTGCTCATGTATAGGAATATGGATGGTGTGTGTGTGTGTGTGTGTGTGTTAAGACAGAAGCAAAAGGTTCAAATTTTCTATCTAAAGATAACAAGTATCTGAAACTCTTGAAAAACAAGCAAGCATCTCTCTGTAAAGTCATACAATGATCAATATGGTTTCTGGAGAATTCAAAAAAAAA